TCAGGAAATCCTCCAGCACTCTCTCCTCTGCCATTGCCTCCCGCATGGATCTGCCCTTCCGTAGGGGGATCCTGCACGGGACGGAGAGAGCAGCCGGATGCTGAGCACCCCGCAAGCGTGCGGGGCTCCCTGCGCTGGGTCCTTGCAGCCAGCACGGCCCGTTGGGGTGCTCGCCGGCACTGCTGCATGCTTCGGCTGACCGGCACGCTCCCCCGGATCCGGGACACCCACCTCACCGCCCCCTCCACAACAAACGGCAGCCAGCACAAGCCACCTCATGGCTCTGGTTTCTCCTGCGCACAGCGTGAGGTCTCCAGCAGCACCTATATATACACCCGGAGAGCAGTGCCCGGTCCCGTGCCTCCCGATGCCCAATTTGCTGTATCGCTGCACTCACCCAGCGTCAACATTTTCTGTGGGTTTTATCTCTGCAGTCTGCCTTCTTAACAGGGCATTTGAACGCCAGCAGAACAGCTAGCACCTCCGATACCAAGAGCGAATGGTCAAGATCTGATAAGAAGCAAAATTCTGTTGTTATCCAAATGTTAAAGTGTTTTCTTCTCAGCACTACTTCGGTCTTGCCAGGAAACAAAGGCAAAAGCTGCCCTTTATATCAAATGGAAACTTGTGATACCGGTGTCCCTCTTTTGACCTAGCCAGGTAGCTGGAATTCAAGGAGGATACGCCATGGGCCTGCAGTATTTCCTCCCGGGAACCAGCACCTAGCCCCCAAAATCTCCCTCTTTCTCCTTCTCTTTCCATTCTGGCATTTGTCCTTTCGTCTTTCTGCCCTCACACTGCCTTATGGCTCTGCTACCACCTTCCTGCGAAGCTGAGATGGGTCTAGAAACTGCACAGTAGAGCAACGCTGAAGGACATAACAGACAGGCCCATCACCTGCCCAGCAGCAAGGGCTGGGACTTGCGTCTAACCAGCTCCACTCCACCACTTCCAGAAGACAAAGACTCCTTGATTCCCTGCAGTTTATGATCAGCGCCAGAGTTAAGCCAAAGGATGCACAGGTCGTACGTCGGGTGCATTGGAAATGCAGCAGTGTGTCCCATATGCTTTGTGCGGCACCGGCCACATCCAAGCAAGAGAAATGCTGGGCAGTGCGAGCTTAGATATTCGTTTGTTGTGGACTTTACTCATGGGAGACCATTTCCTCCTCATGGGAAGGTGCTCTAACAACTGGACATCCCTGCTGGGTTACCGCAGGCCCATCCTGGCATCTGGTACCGAAGCAGAAAAGGAAATCTATTTCCCCTCCCCAGGCCCACGTTATCAACATGGACCAGCTTCGAGACTAAGCACTTGGTCTCTCCACTCCCAGGTTAACCTGGCAAGAGCCATGTCCAGGCTCACAAACACGCTCACCCCAGGAAACAAGGTACAACCCAGGCCAGCACAGCTCTACCTGGGGTCTGACAGGAGCAATGCAATGTCCTTCTGTCTTTGGCCGTAGGAGCCCTTAGAGCCACTGAGATTTGCCTGTCCCCGCTGCAAGCAGTAATGTGAAAGAGAGAGTAGTGAGAGGAGGGCAGGGACCCTGGGAAAGCCTTGCTGCTCATGTTCAAGTAGTTGGTCATTGGCATGTAAACGACACTGTGGCGTTGGACTGGTCCTTCCAGCCTGGGTTGAACCTGTGGCCGCTCAGGAAATCCTCCAGCACTCTCTCCTCCTCCTCCGTTTCTCCTGTGCGTTTGTCTTTCCTCAGATGGCTTCTGCAAGGAGCAAAGACGAGCAGGGAAACGCAATGACCTTCATGCTTCCCCTATTTGGACCCAGCCACCATGGCTGCTGGCCCCCGTGCCCCTCACTGCTCCCACGTCTGGGCAGAAGCACTCACAGCTCTCCTGCACACAGCAAGGCCCTTTCGAGATGAGTTGCGCAAAGCTTTGCCGAGCGCTTCAGCGACGCAGGGTCTCTGTGTGGTCCTGCCCACCAAGCCCACCTCACCTGCCCCTCCGAGAAGCAAGACAAGTCACTCCATGGGCGCTCTTCTTTCCAGCACCCAGCTCCTGTACGCAATGCCCTGGGTGCCCCACAGGAGTAGCTTGAGCTCTCTGAAACCTGCACATTTTATACAGGAGGAGAAATGCCCTTCCTGCTATCTGCGTCTATCTAATCTCTGTATCACTGCACTCAGCTTGCGTCAATATTTTGACACAAGCACAGAGGAGTTTGTGTCCTTTCTCTGGTGAAACTGCAGAGCTATTAATATATCTGCTAATGAGTTCCAATGATAAAGAGCTTCTAAGAAACAAGTTTGGATCCCGGGAAAGAGAGGTGTTATCCGAGCTTCCACTTACCAGGGTGTTTGCTGTTGACTGCAGAAGATGTTCACTCCTCCCAGGTGCCAAGGGCCACAGACTGCAATTTATGATACTCTAGTTATTTTTTCACCTGAGTGGATAGCCTCGCTTCGGTATTTAGGGGTCATTTGGATGTCATGGCTAACCTAATCTGGCCTCACATTTGACTCTGATGTAATCACAGGACTTTGTTAAATCTTATCCATCTGCAAGGAAGATTAATCGGTTCTTCCAGGTATCCCTCAGCAGGTTTCCCAATGCCCAGTAAGAGGGACAGAGGCAAGGGACCAGACCTGTTTCTGGGGCTCTGCATTTTTATCCTCAACTGATCAGACTGACCAGTCTGGCCCTGCAAGTACCAGTAGCAGCAAGAGACAGGACAGCATGTCCCCATGGTGGCTTCAAGGTCACCACAAACTGCAAGCAAAGCAATCTCCACTGCCACGGGCTAACCCTATATTTGCCTGATTAGGTCCTGATAAGCATCTCTTCAAATTGACTTAGCAGAGCCTATCAACAAGTGGCGACTGGGGGCAAGAAGTTGCATCGCTCCCATTAATAGACATGCAGAGCATTCTTCAGTGTCGCAGCTGCACCAGCGTTTGACAGTACAGAGCAGCACTGGCTTTTTGAGGCATCCTGATGCTTGGCATCTGTTGGGGAACTCGTGCCCCAAAGCTGTGAAGAAGAGCGCCTAGAGCTGTGCAATGGCTACACAGTTGGCATTTAAGACCAATCCCGATGACCTTGTGGTATCCCTGTCTCCCACACTGCAACCCACATGGTGTTTCTTACTTGCAAAGCAGAGCCCTTACAGGAATCAGGCTCCGGACACCCTGTCCGTCCTTCTGTCCTTACGGACAGGAGGACAGGAATGGTAGTGCAGCTGAGGCCAAGGGAAGGGAATTTGAGGGACAGCAGGTGGCTGATTTTCAAGGCACAAAGTCTGCAGCCCCCAGATGAGTCCCAAAAGCCTTGCAGAGGGGACAGAGCATTCTCCACTGCCATTTTCAAGCACTGCCAAGCATGCATTAAATGCATGCACTAAAGATAAAGTGCCAAGCATGCACTGAAGACAAAGGCTGCGACTCAGTCCCATGGCCTTTAGGGGTTGACAATATGTCATATCACTTTGCAGGAAATGTAAATAAATTGACTTTAGATTTGCACCAGACCAGGGGCAGATTCCCTGCTGTTTCCCCATGCTGAGTTCATGGAAATCTGCCCAGAAGTTTATAATGGCACTTACCTTGCTGCAGCGCCCTGGTGAAAGAGCAGTTAAGAGACACACAACCCATCAATCTGTGCTCAGTCATCACTCAACAAACTCAGGAGAAGGCCAGAGACAATATGGGACACCTCAGTTTATTTGCAACAATAGAGGATGAGAACACTTTTACACGAAAACCCCAGAGAGACAGGGAGGCTATACAGGCACATAAGGAAGGAGATGATCTGCTGATAGAAACCCCATAGGACTCTGTCAATGCTCACTAGGGTATATGCGGCCAGGAGGACGACTGAATTTTTTCTGTTCAGATGCTCCTCCATTCCTCTACACTGATGGGGCAAAGCCAACGCGGTTGTTAGCCGTGTCAAAGACAGAATAATATTGCTTGAGGAAGACGTCACCCAGGATCCAGAGCAGCTGCCCATTCTGCGACGGCAGGTATGCGGCTTCAGTCCCAACAGTACAGTAGCCATTGTCCTGTGAGGGGAAAATAAAGGGAGTGAGGTGTTAGATCCCAAAGATAGGCCAGGACCCTGTCAGGTGGATTGTGTTTGGCAGGGAGTTGCTTGTATGCAGGGGGAAAGCATCACTGTTTGCTCAGAAACACTAGGTCCTTTCTGGCCCCTTAAGAATCAGATGAAGCTGCTCAGATAACACATACATTGATGATGTAGGCAGAGGGGTACAGTGGGAACTGAGCTCCGTTGATGATGAAGGTGATGGTGGGCAGGTTCTGGACCTCATTGCAGTTAACTGCATACTGTGGAGAGAGGGTGAGGAGGAGATTATGGCTATATCAGCACAGAGAGAACAGCATTGACTAGGAGAGGAGCGTGTTAACTACAAACCCTCCAAACAGGGGCAACACACACTTTATAAAGTTCTGGTAGTGCCGCATCTGCATGTCCCTCCCTTATATGCAAGCAGCCTGCAGCATTATGCTCCTCAGATGCCACATGAGTTTTGCAGGATCTGTTCAAACCCAGGATATCTTGCTTTCTATGCAAGCCTCTGCCCTGCTCCTTTCATTTCTGCAAAGCAACCCCAACACTTAGACCATAACTGGTCTTCTGGGCACCCACAGCCTGAAGGAAGTAATCCATATACTGCTGGGGCACTGCGAGCAAGAACGTCCCAGTGGCCATGATGGCCTGGCAGCCCTGGCTGCACCAGCCTGTCATTGACTGTCCAATAGCAAATTTAGAAAGAGAAACAGGAGAAGGACATCACTTACAAAAACCCACTGGCAATTACACTTTTCTGAGCTGGATCTAAAAGTCCAGGGAGCTTCTGAAACTCAGTGCATAAACTCCTGCTTTGGGCCATGCCTGCTGCAATAGCGCCCGATTTATCTGGAGGACAGCTCTGTAATGCTCTCATTCAAACTCCAGCGCAGCGGGGCTGAGCTGCCCCGGGCGGATCATGCCCATCAAGCTGATGCGTGGGTAGTACGAATGCAACTCACTCATCAATCGCAACCTGCCAGTAAGTCTCCTGGGTCACTGGCACCCACATAATCTCTCCAGACAACAGCTGAGTGTCAACTTCTCTGAGTACGAGCTCTCCCCCATAGTCATAGGTGGGCTGGCTGCAAAAACACAGAGTGAGAGAATCAAGAGATCAGTGCCATATGCATGGGTTAGCGAGGGACAAATTCACAAGGATCCTGCATGGGGACAGTGAGAGGAAGACTGGCGTGCATGGGATGCGCTGAGAGTCTGGCATGTAGGCGTGCACAGGCAGATTTTACTGAGAGAAGTAGAAGCTGAAGATGGGCTGGGTCAGCTGGTTCTGCTGCAGCATGCCCTGCAGAGCGGTGGGCGTTCCTCCCACTGCCAGCAAAGGGTAGGCCATTCCCAGGATCCCGTCAAAACCGGCATAGTAGAAAGGCTGCGTTGGCTCATCCTCACTAAGCCCAAACTCCTGGTTTGTGACTGTAATGCTCTGGATCTGGAGGGAAAGGGAACTCCAACTTCAGCATGTGTTTTCATACAAAACTGGAGCAACGATCAGATGTGATGACCAACGCTCTAAAAGCCCAAATAAAGCACACTGCAAGGTCATAGCTGATGAAAACACTGCCAAGCAGCTGGGGAAATTAGCAGGAATCATGCTGATTAAAACAGTAAAAACCCAGCCGGGTAATTTGAGGTGGCAATAACTACCCTATATTGGTTCTACCTCACTTGGGCCCTGGTTTACCCAAGTCTTGTCTGCACAAGACATGAGATCTGTCCTTAGGCATCCTTCAGGCTCTTTCCGTCACAGTATTCTGGTATCACAGGTTCTAGGGACACAGCTCCCGCAAAGATGTGGGACTGTGCGGGGTAAGGTGTACTTACCGTTAGTGTGTCATAACCCAACAGAAGTGTGAGCGCGCTGCTCCTGTAAGAGAGGGTGTAGGTCTGACCGTTGTCGGTGAAGGTGGAGGACTGGCTGGGGATGAACCTTGCATGATTTGCTGTGTGAGAGAGAAGACAGCAAGCTCCTGGACACGCTCTCTTCTGACCACAGGATGATTTAACCATCAGTGCTGCACTGATAGCCCTGCCAGGATAACGCTTCTAAAGCGACTTCCCAGGGAGGGAACAAGTAGTGAATAACAGAACAGGGTGTTTGTCTGCCTTGCAGTTATTTCTAAGATAGGGTTTTTGCATGTAGTTTTATCTGTCTTTCTCTCTCAAGGGAACAGCTGTTGCGATTATAACCACATTAGCTACCCAGTGTGAGCAAACCCATCAAGTTAAATCCCCATCGCCCCCTTGCAGTCAGTAAGTTATAATCAAATGAGACCTGCTGGAGACTGGGACAATAGCTCCCTGATTGATAGCTTTGTTTGCCACTCAGTCTAGCCATGAAATCTTAAACACAGGCATTGTGATTGTCAACACACTGAGGACACTCACAATGGCCACAGAGTTTTGGACATCTTCATTAACCAACTGCATAAGGAAAGAGGGATCTGACATGTATTTCCCAAGAAAGCACCAGATGGGCACTAGCCAATATGGGGGAGCAGCTATCCCAAGCAGCGTGCAGGATAATTTTGAGTCTGGCACTGTGATTTTCCTTGTCTGATCAGAATATGTTGTGTCTCTCAGGATGTTTTACACAGAACAAGCATCGGCCACTTTCAGCAACTGGAGGTACTCACTGCAGGCCAGTGTCCGGCAATATATGGGAGGCACCCGCCAGTGTCAAAGAGCACCAGGAAGTTCGGCGGAAGGGTCCCAGTGCTGATCTCTCCAAAGTAGGAGGACTGCAGAAAAGAGAGGCTATCTCTGAGGGTGGATCTGTTGGCCCAAGGATCAGGAACAGAACCAGACTTTTGCCTCCCAGCCCCATGCCAGGAGCCTAATCACATTTCACATAGATGCTGGAGAACACCAAGCTGACTCTAACAAATAACAAAGTAGGTGGGAATGGACTGAATGCCAACCATGATTTTTTCTCCCAAATATAGTACTACTAAATACTCCTTTTGTTCATCAGCCTGCATTTGATTTCTTTTCAAATTTCTCAGTGCTCACAAACCAAAACATACAGACCTTTTCCAGGACCAAGAAGATTGTGTCCTGCATTTTGTTGACTTCTTGTGTCCAAAAAACGATCATGTGGTTTAGCCAGGTCGATCTAAGTGATGAGGGTTTCTACAGAAATGTATAGCTTTTCTTAGGCAGCTGACTTGGCTGGGGGAAACTTTTCTAAAGTCTACTGTAGAAGTGTAAAAAAAGAGTGAAAAAAATAAATCTCTCACTCCTGGTGGCCTGTGAGTGAGTAGATTGCTTTAACAGCTGGAAAGAAAGAGGGGAAAGAGAGAAGAACCTGCAATACTTACATCCAGATGGCTGGCCATTGGCTTGTACACAACATAGTCCTCATTGAAGTGATATTTCATGGCTGGATCATATTTAATTTTTTTTCAAGTAGTCCTCCAGCACTCCTGCCTTACTCACTTCCTCCCATATAGACTTGGCTTTCTTCAGCTTGATTCTGCACAGAGCAAAAAAGTTAAAAAAGCAGGGAATCAGTAGAACACGTGGGCCTTTTCAAATTCTCTCTTATTTGGGCTCCCCTGAACCCTGTCACGATGGGCTTCCCTCCACTTGGCCGCTTTGTACTGCTCTGGGCGACTCCCCTCCAAGCAAGAGACACAGCCTGGACTGTGTGGTGTAGCCACGATGATCCATGAAGATACATGAGGTAAGATTCATAAGGAAAGGTGTTAGACTTGGTTAGAGTCCTGGGGAAGCTGTGCAGCACATCCACCATTACACATGCAGCTGGTCTCTATTATCTAAATTCTTCTCACATTTATTCCTGCAGCATATGCTCCAGGAAACCCACCTCACAAGCCCCTCTGAGAGCTGGAGGCACACCAGGGCCAGGATGAGCCACTTCATGGTTCAGTTGTTGCCCAGGGGTCTTTACACACAGTCTCAGAGGCTGCAGCAGGCTGCTCTGAAGTCTCCTGCCTAGACTCCCAGATTTTACAGCTGGGAAGCAGTGACTCACTCCCTTATCTGCTGACCTCCATTTTCCATTACTATCACCTATGTCCCCAGCGTCAACAACTTCTTTGTGTTTTGGTCCATGAGGAGTTTGAGAAGTTTGCGTCCTTAGGGGACATTAAGATGAGAAGAGAGCAACTCATGTCTTTGATAGCAAGAACAAAGTACTAACATCTGATAATAGGAAAATTCTTATCGCAGCAAAGAGAGGAGTTATCAAAATGTCAACATGGTGCAGCATTATCTATTTCTTCAAAACCTGTTCAGTCTTTCCCAAAACAAAAGAACTCATTGCTCCTTGCAAGCTATGGAAATGCATTGCACTTTTGTCTCCTTTCCAGCCAACCAGTTAGACCAACTTCCTGTCTATGAAGATGTTCTAGTGTGAAGGAGAAATAGCTATTGGAGTTAAAGTTTTTCAAAGACATGCTGCTTTCCTCACTAGAGTACATTGCAAAGAGCTGTAGATGGCTTTTCTGCTCCCAGTCCCAGGGGCTCGGCAAACCAGTGCTTTGCCAAAGAGGTTTATTCTCCTGCAGTTTCCAGCACAGTTCTATCTTCTTGTCTTTTTTTCTCCACTTCTTCATCAGCTTTACAGTCCGCTATCCCAGCGCAAAGTGTCCTTTCCTTCAAGTATGGCTAGTTTCCATATTCTATACAGCTAGATCCTGCCTCTGCTTTCACGTAACTATGTTGGACAGAAATCACATATTTTTCTACTAGTTTTTTTAACTTTGTGGAGCAATTAATCTCCTTTTTGTCCTGTGTTAAAAGTCAGGTGTTTTGCCTACCTGCATCAGATGAACCCCCCCCGCCAAAAGAAAGATTTCTAGCACTGGTGAGCATGCTGCAGTATCTCATATACTGAGTCCTGCTGTCCTTCACATCGGCACATAAAGACAGCAAAATTGTTTGTTTTTCTTCTGTGGAAAAAAAAGAGAACTACAAACACTGAGACTTCCCAAACTGCCAACAAACACAGCAAACATACCAAAACATTTGCAGTTGTAACCTGAACTTTTTCCAGTAATAGGAAAACTGGGGGAGACATTTTCCATTTTCCTCAAAACATTTTGTATAAACCCATAGTTACAGAAATTCCTACAGGAATGTAGCCTGTAGTATGTTACTGAGTGACACAGGGATGCTGTTCATGGGCAACCTGTTCCCTTAGTGTCTTCATTGCCTCTGGATCCAGGGCTTTGGCACAGCATCACAAGCAGTGCCCTGCTCCATGCAAAGCTCAGACCAGGATGGACAACAGCCACTCCTGGCCAGGGGGCTCAGCAAAATTTGGGTTTCCACTGAGACCATGGGAGCTGCCGAGTGCTCAGCGCTTTTGGAAACCTGCCCAGAAGTGCATAACAGGCAGCTTAACTCGATGTTTTATACCCATTTAGCAATTGTTGAGGGATAATCAGGTTGTAAATCCCACAGCTAAATAACTGCTCTCCATCTCTGCTCAACGAGCTCTGAAGGCAGTTTGACACACAGCCATTTAATCAGCGGCAATAGCTTTGGAGAGTGCTGATTGCCCCGCACATGCTGATGGCAGGCTAAGGAGGGACCTAAGGTCCATTGAGAACGAAATGAGCCATCTGGGGAAACACAGCACAAAGTCATCAGGGTGCGATGCCACAGATACTGGGCCAGGAGAAGTTTGTCTGGCTCTCCAGGCAGGTGGGGACAAGCCAATATTATCTGGGATCCAGTCAGGCCTGGGAAGAGGAGCAGCCTTTGTGCTAAAGCCTTCTTTGGAGGAGCATATTGCAGCTGAGCTCAAGGCAGAAACTCTGGTCTCTGCCTCATCTGCGTGATATTTCTGGACATTCAGCCTGCAGCATGTTCTCCAGGACACCCCCATAAGTTGAGGCAGAGCCTGGCCAAGACAAGCTCCTGTTTGAGAGTTGATTCCTCTGCAACTAACTCCCATACGTGGCGCCCCAGTAACCTTCTCAGACCTCGTTTAAGCCTCCAATCTGAGCAGCTTGGTTTTTCCACAAGGAAAAAGCCTATTCTCCATTATGTACTGATAGCCCAGTGTCACTATCGCTGTGCTCATCTAGTGTCAATGCTTTGCACACGTTTTATTCCCAGAGGAGCAGTGGGGAGTATGTGTCCTTTGCTGGATATTGAGACTATAATAAGGCAATTATCTTGTTTGCTAGAAGGATTGATAGAAAGATCAACTTATTAAGATCAGATAAAAGGGAAATGCTGGCTGAAAGCAAAGAGCAGTTATCAAAACGTCAATATACTGAGTGTTATCTGCAGGTCCCCACAGGGACTCCGGCTTGCCAAAAGACAAAGGAATAAGGTGCCCTCTACAGCACACGGAAACACATTCTGCTTTCGTTGCTTTTTGACCCAAAAATTAAACAGCATTTATATGTTGAGTCATTTAGTTTAAAGGAGAATCGGGGATTTACAGTTTCTGACATCAAAAATCTCGCAGCCTTGAGCAGAGCAGGACTCAGCTAACTTATTCCTCCCCTGAGCTCCAAGCCCCTTTGAGCAGCGCTCACCTAAACAGATCTCTAATGCAAGACTTCTCCTCAGGGCCAAAGCTCTGGTAATTTCCCTTTCTTTGCTTATAGCTCTGGTAATTTCCCTTTCTTTGCTTATAGCTTTCTTCCCTGTGTTGGTTTAATGCTTTCATCTCGCACGCAAACATGTTCCAGATCAGGGAATCCTGTTTCCCCTGCTCACCAGATGACAGCAGACCCTCTTTGCATCCCCTGGCCAACTCCTCCACCTCTCCTGAGAGCTGTGCCAAAACAGTAAACAAGATGAGCCATGAGCAGCAGCTTTCCTTACCATCTTGAGGGCTTAAACCATCAACTTTCAACACAAGCCAAGAAATCCTGTTAAACCAACAGACCAAACTGCCTCTGAAGAGGTGGATATTCTACAAAATTCTCATCTCCCCAAACCCATTACCCCTCACAGACCATTTCACAGGATTAGGGATGGGATCTAAAGGAAAATGAGGCCTCCAGCCTCCCCCATAACCCCAGGACTTCTCCTGCCTGCAGACACCACTGATCAGTGCAGGCTTGGGAGAAAAGCCTTTTCACAAGAGACTGCAAACACTCTTAACTCCTCCTAGTCTACTGTAGTCGCTGCTCTACTGATGGCAAGCCCATAGAGAAGTGATTGGCCCCAATGCCAGGGCAACTTACCACCCTAATTCCTGGACCTTAGCCGCAGTCACAAGGTATTGCTATTTATCTCAACGAATGGTAGCATATAACTTAAACCCGAATGTGGGACTGCCAGTAGCTTCCCCTGGTCATTAGTCAAAGCTTGTTGCTCTTGCAAGCAACATGTCAGCTAAAACCTTCTCTGAAAGTGCCAAATCCCATCTTGCAATTAGTGAGCAGAAATCTGAGTTAACCCAATTTTCCGTGGCCTGTAACTCCCCTTGCACGTGCTGGGAGACACGCAGATGGAGGGGGGCAAGAGTTATCAGGCCCATGGAAAGAGGAGAGGGGTGAAGTTAGTAAGCGTTTCAAGCCTGAGACATTCCTTTGTATAATACGTGGCCAGTTTCTGTGTGTCTTTTAGCTAAAAAACATCCCTGTGCTTAGCTTAACTTTAAGTTTGCTCCTGCTTAGAATAGGCTACTTGCAGTAAGTCTGGTTGTGACATCTGCTTTTATCCCCTGTTTTGCTGAGCATGTTTCAGAGAGGAAACATGTTGGAGTTTTTCCTGTTCTATTTTGTACCAAAAAAACCCCCAAAAATAAAAACAAAAAACCCTCCACACATTAAGAAAAAAAACATATTCATTTTTTCTTATTTTTAAAGTGTTTTTATTTCTTTGTAGTTGCTTTTGGAAAGAAACCCATACTTTCATCACATAGATTTCACAGGAGAGAGGCTGCTAACTTTGCAGACATGGATGAGGGGAAGAGACTCCACCAGATGCTTTGACACACAGAGGCACAAGGAGCTGCAGCGTTGGGCAAGGGGAAGCAGCAACATGGTCAGCATGGGAGCTGGTTCTGCTTATGCAGCAGCAGCAAAGCCCACTTGGTTGTTGCCCAGGTCATAGATCGAGTAGTAAGACCTCAGGAAGACGTCCCCAAGAATCCACAGGGGCTGCCCGTTCTGGGACGCCAGGTAGGTAGATTCAATCCCAACGGCACAGTAGCCGCTGTTGCTCTGTTGAGCAGAAATAACTGTTAGGAAGCTCCAGCTCCAGAGCTCTGACTATCACCCACCCAACACCAGGTGTGGGTTACACAGGCATAGCTGTGGCCAGTGCACCCACACCAAGTCGGCAGTGCTCCCTTAGCTGGAGAGCTCTCATGCAAGGCAGATGCCATGGAGAGAGGCACACAGGAGCCAGATGGGCCATGAGATGACATACCTGGAGCATGTAGGCGGAGGGAGGCAAGGGGAAGCTGGCGCCGCTGATGATGAACGTGAGGGTGGGCATGCTCTCGATGTTGCTGCAGCTAGCCACGTACTAGAGAAAGAGTAAGCCACAGCTAGTTTATATATGGTGCAACTGGTACAGGCACAGCTCAGTATTTCCCAGGACACCAGTGACAGGCTCCCAGAGGAAGCTGTGACCCAGGAATAGAACCAGGAATGCAGATATCCAAATTTTATATGCTCATTTCTCATGCCCATTAGGGCAAAACCTAGAAGACTTCCCATGTCCCCCCAATCCAACTACTGAACGGCATCTGCCTGCCCCAGATGACAGACACATCTCCCTTTTCTATTTCTTCTTTCGTCCAGCCTGGTCTCCTTACCTGGCCATTGCCATCAGCTTGAGCTCCAATGTACTGCATCAGCTCAGAAAAGATCTGCTGAGGAGCAGTGAGGAGGGAGGTTCCTGTATCGACAATTCCCTGGCAGCCCTGGCTACACCAGCTGCTGGTCTGTCCACCAATAGCGAAACTACAAAAAGAGAGAACAAGCTGCTAGTAAAACATGCTCAGCTCTGCTGCAGCATGAACGAAGGACAGGGGCACTGTGTATGAGGAATGCCTGAATGCTTCCTCCAACATCTGCACCTTAAAAAGGGTGAGTTCCTATGGCTACACATAGGCAGAGCCAAGACTAGACCCCAGAGCTCAAATTGTCTAAGATGTGAAGTCTCTGAATCATGGCCCAGAGCCACTGGACCTGACATTAAAGTTCCTGTTGTAGCCACAGGTCTAAGTATAGCTAAAGCTGGTACAGAGGAAACAGGAGAAAGTCCCATTTTACCCTTCAATCCCGATCTGCCAGTAGGTAGTCTCAGTGACGGGAGTCCAGGTGATTTGGCCTGTGTACAGGCTGGAGTCAACACCTCCGAAGACAAGCTCACCCCCTTGGCTGCCCTCCTGCCTGCAAGAAAAAAGCATAAGCAAAACACCTGGTTATTTGCAGTGATCGACAGCCTCCAACACCAGCCTACTGGAAGGATATGCAGACTAGTAAACTGAAGAGGGAGGAGTAAACACTGAACGAACAGGAGAGCAGGACTGAAGTGTAAATTGCCAGGTTCTCCTGAAGATACTGGAGATTCATGAGGTTTGCAGTAAAAGGGAATAGTCTTGGGAAGCGCAAAGGCAACATAAGGTAGAAAGAAAAAGGGGAAGAGGCACATCCTTACCCACTCAGGTAGAAGCTGAAGATGGGGGCATCCAGCAGGTTTTCCTGCAGCAAGCCCTGCATCACAGTGTTGGCACCCCCAGCAGAAATGGAAGGGTAGGCCAGACCCAGGATGCCGTCAAATGGAGCATACACAAAGCTGGTGCCAGGCTCAGTCTCACTCAGGCCAAACTCCTGGTTTGCGACGGAAAGGCTCTGGATCTAGGGCACGAAAGAAAGCAGGCACAGCTTTTTGAGTGCAGCACAGGGCATCAGTACCCAAGGACAAACAGTGGGTTTGTCCAGGCTATATACCGGGAGCACTAAGCTGAAGCAAGTGCCTGCCTGACCAAAGAAGGGCTTTGCCATCCGACTACTATGCCTGAAAGCCATAGCCTGTACCACATATGTGAAATAAGCGACTTGGTGTTACAGCTGGGCAATAGAGCTCCCCCTTTTGCTCACAAGGGAGCATTTTATGTTTCCAGAACTGAACAACCCAGGTTTTTCCAGGTACTTGCTCTGTACATGCATTTCACAAGCCACGGGATGTGGGCAGGCGGCCTTGCTCAGTGCACTGCTGCTGACCAAAATGCAGAGCGAAGCCAGAGGCGCCCCTTCCTCCCCCAGCTGAAGTATCACTTACCGTAACAGTGTCGTAGCCCAAAATCCCAGCGAGGCTGCCAGTTCCATACTGTATGGAGAAGTACTGATCCTGAGTTGAAAACGTGGAAGACTCGCTAGGGTTGAATACATTGTGGTTGGCTAAATTGGAAAAGCAAAACAGAAGAGCGTGAACTTTCAGTTCATACAAATGAATGTTGCAGACTCACGGTGAGACGGGGAGGCTCTGATCAGAGACCGTCTTCAGTGCAACAACAGAGAAAATTAGAGCCTGATTTGCCATCATCCTCCCTGCACAGGAGTTACTTACTGCAGGCCTCACTCTGGCAGTATGTCGATGGCACCCACAGGTTGGAGGAGCCAGTGTCGAAGAGCACCAAGAAGTCCTGGGGGGGTGTCCCGATGCTGATCTGCCCATAGTAGGACATCTGGAGGAAAGGGGACACGTTTTATCAATCCCACGTTACTCTTTGGCCAACAGCACTGCTAGGTGCTTGTGCTACTTCTCAGCCCATGCAACTGCCAGCATTACGAGATTGTGGGTTCCCAATGACGGCTCATGGGGCGGGAGGGATTGCCAGTTAACGCTCTTCTCTAACAATTAGACGTTCTTGCTCTAGGAGATTCAATGAAAATAGCAATGCAAGTTTTGCCTGGTGCACAGAAGTTGCTCTCCGCTTGGGTCCTCTAACCAAGAAAAGCAATTGGTGGGAGCCAGAATGGCACAGGCATGTCTGAAGCAGCTGTGTTTATGAACTGCTCACAAGCATGCTCGTTCTTCTCACAATGCTGCACGAGCTGGTTTCAGAGTATTTCCAAAACAGAGAATACAGCACACAGCTGAACAGCTCCCATTCATGTTAAAATAAATATTCCTCTTTTTCTACGCAACTATAAGAACTGCTCCTGAAATAAACAGCCGAGCTCAAAGTCTGACAGGTAACTTCCCAAATCTCTCTCTCTATTCCTACTCCATTCCTCTCATCTCTACACTTACTTTTCCACCCTTATTTTTAGCAGCCAGTGGATACTCACATCCATGTTGTTAGACAGGGGCTCATAGGCAGTAGCAAAGTTATTGAAGAATTTGTAGGCAGGGTCATAGTGGCGGCGTTTCTCCAGGTATTTGTGGAGCACACCCTTCTCCTTCATTGTTTCCCTTATGGACTTGCCTTTCTTCAAAGGAATTCTGCATGCATGCACGCAATGAGCAAAAAGTCATCAAATCAGCGTATTATCAAGTGGCTCTTCACTTCCCATCAGACCCTCTAATTTTGACTCCTCCTATTACTTTTCTCTCCTCTTTCAGTTCCTCCCCTGCCTGATTATACTCCTGTAGGCAGATTTTCCAGTGTGTTGATTTGCACTGACGCGGGTGTCTCTGGAGTAGTACGGTCTAGTCTGGCCACTGGAAAAGTCCTGTGCTTTGGATCCCGACCCTTTCAACTAATGCAAAATGAGTTTGACCTCAGGCCTACCATGGCCACGACCCTTATTAGTGTGACCTTTCTGCAATACAATAAGCAGCATCAAGGAAAGCCAAGAGTAAGTGAAAGACGGTGAGAAATTGCTCAGGATTAACGTGAGAACCATGACCGTTTCCTAAAGACTAAGCCATAATACTAAGCACTGGCCCAGGACAAAACCTAAGACTCCCAACACACACACTACATCGCTGCTCTTCTGACTCACCACCACATCGCAAACAACTAAAATGCTCATGCGGTTATTCCATGCTTACCTCAACAACCCCTCAGAGAGGTGGAGGCAGGCCAGGGTGAGGATCAGCCACTTCATGATGATCTCTTGCTGGCAGTTTCCAAAGAGACCTCCAGTCACCCTGCTTCGTCCTGGATCCCACGCTGATGCCAGAGCTCTACAACTCCTCCTTATATACCCAAAGATGGTCTTCATCTCCCTGCATCACTGCACACTCACATGCCTGAAGTTTATCAACGCATCCATAACATTTACATGAAATGTTTACCCTACAGTGCTAAGGACTATCAAGAAAACTTCAGGTCAAATACAAATACAAATGCTGTTCAATTTTCAAGCTACTCCTTGAACAAAGAAGTTCATGAAAATGACTTGATAAGAGTAACCCAAACCCACAGGAGTGAAGTTCACTACCAACCAACTTCTTTTGATTTGATAGGGGTATCTCAAAAGACAAATAAAAGAAAATTTTCATTGTGTTTTCCTGAGATAGGATGGAAAGAATAACATGGGTTATCATTGGTTGTACAATTTCTTCTGCTTCCATTCCAGTTCTTATCTCTAGCATTTTGGAAAGTCACGGAACGACCCTGAAGGAAAGAAACACATGGGCTTGGGTTGGAAGATGCTATACGCAAAGGCATGCTTGCTTAGAAAGACACAGATGGCCCTATTAGCTGTTCTTAAACTGACTCCTGCTGGGGAAAGA